CCCACCACAGAATGTACTTCACGACATAGTAGGTGATGATTCTTTGCTAAACAAATACTTTATTATAGTTAGAGTCAGCTAACGTAATTATTTTATTTTTGTAGGTTGCAATAGATTAGGATATTTTTTGACTGTGACGAGGCTGCTTGAATAGGTTCGACTAATAACATGTGTATTAAGTCCAATGGAACGGCCGGGTATGTGTGGCTAAATGCTTATAAATAAACTTGTAGTAGTTTCACGAATGAATTTAATAGGCCGTTTGGCGAGAGGGCACGGGGAAGCAATAATTCTTAATGAAATTGAGGAAACGTGATATAACATCAGCTTATTATAATCAAATCAATTTGCTCCAAAACTATGATTACCTGAGATCCCGTGATGACATCAGATATCGTGCCAAAAAAAAAATTTCGAACCCCTGAGTAATGTAAATGGGTGCACTGATTGTGAAAACTCGAAATTCAATGTAAGATCGCTCCCGGACTCACCTGTGTCTGCAGCCCGCGAAACGCAGAGCACGGACAAAAATTTCATATCCAATGTTCACAGTTAAACGATGGAACATTCCCTACATGTGGCTAGAATGTAACAGCAGTGTAGTAAAATTTACTTGTAGTAAATTGGTAAATACGTCATGCTGTTCCTAACGTGGACTTAATTTCTGTGGAGTTTGAGTCTATCATGTGTGGCCCTAGTTGTACATGCTGTTCAGTTTGTTTGAGTTGAGTAAAAAGGAAGGATTTGTTGATCTATAAGTTACTCTCACTACAAATGTACTTCAATTCACAGGTGCGTGGCTGTTTAGTGACAGTAAACATTTACAGAATATGATGGGGATCGTTTGGTGATGACTGTGTTGCAATGTTTGGTGTTATGAGCAAAAACTAAAAACGCAAGTGAGTGCGTTTAACAATCTAAATCGCATGTACTTACCCGCGCCTCGGCATTTATCCACCCTTTTTCTGTTGACCTACATAGCACAGCTGACGCGTGATTTTGTACTTTTCCGATCTCACTTATTGAGAGCGCCATGTCATTTGGAATATCCGTCTGAGGCGGGATGATCTTAAGCTCATCAGGGTCTATGTCCCCGAGGGTCTGCCGGAACGGTACCTGGGTAAACGTCCGGTATCAGGACCTGAACGTACCGCGTGGTAACTATCTGATATTGGTCTAGGGTGCAGCCAGCGGGACCCGGAAGCAGTTTTTGGATATGGGGGGGGGGGCAAAGACCTAAAGGGGCTCACGAGTTTTTTATTTGTTATATCGTGTTGTGCGCTGAGCGCGTGTGTGGTTTGAGCATCGTGTGCGGTGCGTGAGCGGCAGTGTGTGCGTGTTGCGTGTGGTGCGACGTGTGGTGCGTGAGCGCGTGTGTGCGACGTATGGTGTGCGTGAGTGCTGGTGTGCAGACGTGTGTGCGTGAGCGCAGTGCTGTTCGTGAGTCGCATGTATGCGGAGAATCGCGTGTATGCGACGTGATGTGACGCTGTGCGACGTGTTGCGTGAGCGCGTGATGTGCGTTGTCGCGACGGTGTTGCTGTAGCAGCGTGTGTGCGATGTGTATGCTGACGCTGCGTGTGTGTGATGTGTGTGCTGTGTATTCGACGTGTGTGCGTCGTGTAGCTAGAAACCGTAGTGTCGCGCTGAGCGTGCAAACGTGAGACAGTTTGATGCCACTGACCGTTGTTAGTGTGTGCGGACGTTTCCTGTGTGGCGTTTGAGCAAGACGCATGCGAGGTGTGCCTAGAGCGATAGTCGTGCGGTAAGTGAAAAGCAGTCATCAATCGGATAAGAGGGGCCGAGCTAACCAGGTGCTAATGGTTGCACTCGTTGTTGTTGAGTGCTGCGACGTGAAACATGTGGCGTGAAGGCGCAAGATGTCGTCGCTTGACGTGTGTACGTGAACCCCGATAACGTGCAGATTCGGAACTGTGCGTGCGCACGCGCCCGTGTGTTCGCGACGTGGGGTCGTGAGCGCGTGGTGTGCGTGAATCATGTGTGCGACCGTTGTGGTGCGCTGAGCGGCTGTGTGTGAAGTGTGTTGCGATGAGCGAGCGTATTGCGGCGTGTTGTCGGTGAGCGCGCTGTGTCGTGACGTGGTGCTGGAGCGCGTGTGTGTGTGACCTGGGTGCGTGAGCGCGTATGTGCGGCTGTCGTCGCGTGAGCGCGTATGCGGCGTGAGCGTCAAATCAACGCAAAGCCGCGCAGCGAAAAACTGTAAAATGGATGTATAATTGTGTTTTTGTAACGGTTAGAATTAACAAGTCTTAGCTAATACATTTTTATTTTTTTCTTTCGCCCGACTCTTTCTTTTTTGGGGGGGGCCTCTGGTTAAGGGTTAGGGTTAGGAGTAGGCGTAAGGCGACTCCCTAGACTCCGTTAGTGTGAGTAGGCGAGGTACGGTCGGACAGTATTAGATAGTAACAGCGAGTACGATTCGCGGTATAGCGTACAGTACCCAGGGTACGTCCGGCAGTACCCGTGGGGGAGTCATAGACCCTGCCTCACGCCCGATACTATACAGGATTGACTGTGCGTAGATCAACTGCGTTGCACGTTGCTGGCAGAGGTAAAGAAGTGTGTGGACATGGTACTTAATGCAGCATGGCCCTCACATTCAACTTAATGCTGTAATGTTCGAAAATTGCGTAATTCGTAACTTTGTTACTATAGAGTTTACTATATAGGGTGTGGATATGTTTGTCCGCGTTAATTGATGTATTTATAATGGTGTTTACTAAATAAATCACACGTCCATATCTATTATGTGACATTAATTTGTTAGTTCTTCTTGAGAGCAATATCATATTTACAACATAATCGAAGATCATTATCTACATATCACCAATATATCAACAACATTATCTAGAATCTAGTCATATCACCATATCTAGATCAATAATTTATCTACAAGCAACATTTCTATTTAGGCGATGCTTCTTTTTCTTTTCTTTTTCTTTTTCTTTTTGGCAGAAGTTGCTGCTGTCTATTTCAATCAGTGATTGCTTAGAGTTCTTCCTAAACTCATGATCACACTTAAACACAACAAAGTCACCAAAACTCCGGTGTAGATTCAATTGGGCTCAGCTTATGAATAAACTAATAACGCAAACATGTAGAATGCTGGCAGAAGTGGATGCGAGGTTGCGTTTGGCATGTGGGAGGGGAGGTTTAGGAGCCGATATCTCCGCCTAGGAGTATCGTATTGACAAGCGGTTGGTCTTGTTTTAGAGAGCAAAGAATTCTGCTTAATGCAATACCATGAAATTATTCTAGAATTGCATAATTCTCGCAGGCAAAGTAGAATAATGTAGTCGTGAAATAGCACTATTTTCCCGTTTTTCCGTTGTACACTCTAGGTATTATCCGCTCTTGATATATATATATATATATCGCGTAGGTTTCAAGCCTTGGCTACACACTACAACCACTACGCGCTGCTACGACTAGCGACGCGTAACCATGCATCATAGAGACGGAGGACGATGTCGTACATGTGCAGTTCATACCCCGGCCTCGCCGTGTTCGCTCGCTTCGACCGACGGCGGCGCGACCTGCAGGCCTCGTGCAGGATGCGCGCGACGCTGCTGATCACGCTGCCGACGGGGGGCTTGTAGAGGTAGGTCGGCGACGCGGCGATGAACACAACAAGACCCGTCGCGAGGCAGCAGCCCGGAATCAGGTAGCTGTAACGAGATATCAACTGTAGACGTCAGGTAACTGTGGCGAGATATCAAAAGTAGGTTATGGTTATTTACCGGTAACTCTAATAACAGTAATATAATACATGAGGTAACTGTGGCAAGATATCAAATGTAGGTTACGGTAACACATCAGGGAGCTGTAGCGAGATATCAAATGTAGACGTCAGGTAAGTGTGGCGAGATATCAAATGTAGACGTCAGGTAAGTGTGGCAAGATATCAGATAGTTACCAGGGTACGTTCCGGTATACCGGACCGTACCCAGGGTACGTTCCGGCAGTACCCTGGGGGACATAGACCCTATGAGCATAAGTATCGCTCAACGGATATCTCAAAAATGCCTCTAATAAGTGAGATCGGGAAAAAAATCACGCGTCCAGCTGTGCTATGTAGGTCACAGAAAAAGGGGGTATAAAATGGCCGAGGTGCGGTTAGGAAAGTACATGATTAATGTAAACGCTCATGCGTTTTTAGTTTTTGCATTAACACAAACATTGCAAAATATCCCAAACGACCACAATCATATTTGTAAATGTATATGTAAACAGCAACGCACCTGTGAATTGAAGTACGATGTTAGTGAAGAGAATTATAGATCAAAAACCTTTTACTAACAAACAAACTGAACACATGTACAATAGGCCACAATGATAACTCAACTCACGAAATTAGTCCACGTTAAACAGAGACGTATTTTACATTTACAACAGTACATTTACACCTGTTACATTTACACCCTGTAGGGACATGTTACCGTCGTATGTGACATTGATATAAATTATTTGTCGTGCTGCTTCGCGGCAACACAGTATCCAACGATCTATTATAATAGAGTTTTCACATATTAATTACATCAAATGGAATTTGAGATATCTTGAGAATCACTGCATCAGGGTAATATATCTTTGGGAGCCATGATTTATATCATGTTTCACGTTTCATTAAGAAATTGCTCCCCCTGTTGCCAAGGCCATTAATTATTCGTGAAAATATACCAATTATTTATAAAAGCATTTAACGACACATACCCAGACACGTTCATTGATTATTACAATGTTATTAATCGAATATTCAAAGCCTCGTCCCGTCAAAAAAATCTACAGTGCAATACAAAATAAATATTACGTTAGTACACTCTACACCTATATATACAAGTATTTGTTTAGCAAAGAATATCACCTACTCTGTTGTACATCTTTTGTTCCACTAATGATGCAATATATACACAAAATCGACCCACCACTCATAACATAAACACACGTCTTCAACCTATCCTGTATTAATTATTGCAAGTGGTAGTATTAAACAGGGTTATCTACAATTACACAAACAAACACACATAACAAATTTCATTTCACATGATTTTCCAAATTGTATGGCATCCTTTTTTTAACCATTTTTTTACATCAACTCGACAGAAAATACCATTTTGATTGTAGAATATTTGCAACTCTATGCATGGCATTTGCACAGATAGAACCCATTATTTACAGAGGCAGGAGAGGGACGGTTTCTATACGCGATGCCTGCTTGTTTCGTTGTCTGTTCGGGCTATCAGTTCATTAGTCACCTATATGGTAACCCTGTGCAGTCTGTTCATCCTGCATTTAACGTCTCTGTGAATGGCTGCTCGACCTGCATTCACTGCCACTGTTAAGTTATAACGTCGATCACCTATTCCATTCCTCGTGAGCAGTTGCCTGTTAGTGTAGTTCTATGTTTGCCATTGTTACGGATGGTTACCTGTCAGTGTAGTCCTACGTTTGCCATTTCTTATGTTTGGCATCATTGTGAATGGCTGTTGGCATAGCTTCATGTTTGGCATTGTTGGGAATTGCTAAATTTTAGTGCATTTGGCAACATAGCCTGTGTAGTTCTATGCTTGGCTGTGTTGTCAATGACTGTTGGCATAGCTTCCTATTTCGCATTGTTGGGAATTGCTAAATTTTAGTGCATTTGGCAACATAGCCTGTGTAGTTCTATGCTTGGCTGTGTTGTCAATGACTGTTGGCATAGCTTCCTATTTCGCATTGTTGGGAATTGCTAAATTTTAGTGCATTTGGCAACATAGCCTGTGTAGTTCTATGCTTGGCAGTGTTGTCAATGGCTGTTGGCATAGCTCCATGTTTGGCATTGTTGGGAATTGCTAAATTTTAGTGCATTTGGCAA